ATTATTATTATTATTATTATTATTATTATTATTATTATTATTATTATGTGTTCAGAGTATTGCAGTGTAAATTCAGCGCTAGAAAAGTAAACACAGATGACTGAGGCTTCCTTTAACTTCTTTATAAACATATAAAGTGAATTTTACAATACCAAGGAAATGTTGTAGATTTCTCCAACATGGAGGAAACTCAAAGGTTCAGAGCAGAACAACAACTCAAGTGCTCAGAAACAGACATCAGTTTCACTTTAGTTGAGCAGGCAAGCAAGACACACAGCGGAGTGAAGCAGTTTCATTTGCGACAGACTCAGAGCTTAACATAGCTTCAGAGCTGCAGAGCTTAATATAGAGCCATTCCTGGGCTACTTCTAGTTTCAGTTTCCAAACAGTCCTCATTGGCTGACTTAGTTGCTATGCCTATTCATTGGCTCACCTTGTTACCATGCTCTATTCCAGTTTATGAATACCCTCTGACATTATAGGTACCCAGATTGTTGAGGGCAAGAGGCTGATTCTGTAAACCACTTAGAGAGGCCTGTAAACAGTGGCTGGATCCTGCTGGTTCGGACCGGTCCTGGGGAACCAGTAGTTCTGGTGATCAACTGGCCCCGCCCACCCGCCCCTGCTCTCTCCTGTCCTATATTTCTGTGTTTTTCAGCTCAGCTGCTTCACATGGCACAGTGGATTGCGGCGCCTCAGTTGTTTTACTCATCAGCTGTGCTCTAGTGGGTAAGAGTTAGGGCCGTGATGGCGAACCTATGGCACATGTACCACAGGTGGCATGCAGAGCCATTTGTGCCAGCATGCGAGCTGCAGGCAAACATGCACACGCCTCACAGCTGATTTTCGGCCAGTTTGAGGCCTTTTTCAGCCCCCCCCCCAGAGGCTTCAGGAAGGCTTCTGTAGGCTTTTCAGGCCGAAAACTAGGACCGTTTTGTCACTTCCTGTTTTTCTGGAAATACTGGAAATGATGAAACGGGCCTAGTTTTTGGTCTGAAAAGCCTGCAGAAGCCTTCCTGAAGCCTCTGGGAGGCCGAAAAAGGCTTCAAACTGGCCTAAAATCAGCTGTGAGGCACAGCGCAGGTAAGGGGGCAGTGCCTGTAAAGCACTGTGAAGTGGTATATAAGTCTAAGTGCTATTGCTATTTCACACTCATAAGGATAACACAACATTTTTAAGCTGCTGCATTGGCAAGGAAAAGGATATAGGTAGTCTCTGGACGGACAACCACAACTGAGCCCATAATTTTCATTGCTAAGCGAGACAGTTGTTAAGTGAGTTTTGTCCCATTTTACGACCTTTCCTGCCGTAGTTGTTAAGTGGATCACCACGGTTGTTAAGCTTAATAGCTTAAGCTTAATGATGGGGAATCTGACTTCCCCACTGACTTTGCTTGTCAGAAAGTCGCAAAAAGTGATAGCCATAGCAAATGCACTTATAAAAAATAATTACTTATAAAGAAAAAGGTTTCTTATGATTATTTTAGTTCCTATATTTGAATGGAGCCTTTCATTTCAGAGCAATAATAGCCATAGCACTTAGACTTATATACCGCTTCACAGTGCTTTACAGCCCTCTCTAAGGGGTTTACAGAGTCAGCCTCTTGCACCAAACAATCTGAGTCCTCATTTTATGCACCTCGGAAGGATGGAAGGCTGAGTCAACCTTGAGCTGGTCAGGAGGTAGAGTTAGCCTGCAATACTGCATGGAATGGAATGGAATGGAATAATATGGAATAACAATAAAATAGAATAACAATAGAATAGAATAGAAAATAGAACAGAATAGAATAGAATAAGCACTTAGACTTATCAACCCGCTTCACAGTGCTTTTACAGACCCCTCTATAAGCGGTTTACAGAGTCAGCCTCTTGCACCCAACAATCTGGGTCCTCATTTTATCTACCTCGGAAGGATGGAAGGCTGAGTCAACCTTGAGTCCCATCTGGATTGAACTGCTGGCAGCGGGCAGAGTCAGCCTGCAATATTGCATTCTAACTACTGCACCACCACGCTGATCATGGGACCTTGGAACACAACAACCATCATAAATATGAGCCAGTTGCCAAGTATCTGAATTTTGATTGTGCGACTGTGTGGAGCCTGCAATGCTTTGTACGTGTCATGAACCACTTTCCCCGGTACCGTTATAACTTTGAATGGTCACTAAATCAATGGTTGTAAGTCAAGAAATACCTGTAACAGGAATTCTTTCTGTTTCCTCTTCCTCTGTCCGCTTTATTAGGGGTTTATTTCCCTGCCTTGGCTAGTCTGCTTTCCCAGAAGGTACAGGAGAGCGAACGAGCATTGACATACAGCACGGTTGGAACTGGATCTCAGTTTGGGTGAGTTTTTCACACACTATAAAAAAGACGTTGAGACTCTAGAAAAAGTGCAGGGAAGAGCAACCAGGATGATTTAGGGGACTGGAGGCTTCAACATATGAAGAACCGTTGCAGGAATTGGGAATGTCTAGTTTGATGAAAAGAAGGACCAGGGGAGACAGGATAGCAGTGGTCCAATATTTGAGGGGCTGCCACAGGGAGGAAGGGGGTCAAGCTATTTTCCAAGGCACCCGAAGGCCAGACAAGGAACAATGGATGGAAACTGAACAAGGAGAGATTCAACCTGGAAATAAGGAAGAATTTTCTGACAGTGAGAGCAATCAACCGATGGTACAGAAATTGCCTTCGGAAGTTGTGGGAGCCTCATCACTGGAGGCTTTCAAGAAGAGACTGGACGGCCATTTGTCAGAAATAGTGTAGGGTCTCCCGCTTGGGTAGGAGGGTTGGACTAGATGACCTCCAAGGTCCCTTCCAACTCTGTTAATCTGTGAATCTGTATCTTCAAGCAGAGAACAGGGCAATAAAGGAAAAGAGATTGAAAAAAGGATACAGGCAGTCATCGACTTATGACCACAACTGAGCCCAAAATTTATGTTGTGAAGTGAAACATTCGTTAAGTGACCTTTGCCCCATTTTACGACTTTCTTGCTATAGTTGTTAAGCAAATCACACTGCAGTTGATAAGTTAGTGACACGGTTGTTAAGCCTGGATTCCCCAATGGGTGTTAAGGAAAACAAACTAAACAGAATGTGCAGCGAAGTCAGATAGGAAGACAGGTAAATGTGTGAGATAAGTTTTCTAGTTAACACGCAGTAAAAATACAGATACGCTTGTGCTATCAAAAATATTGTTTATTCCATTTAAGAATTATAGCATAGTCAAATGTAACGGTCCATTAGTCATATATCAATTTCAGTCAAGTCTTGTCGGGGATACTCTATTTGCAAAGTCCGTGTTGAATAGCCAATGTCAGTTCATTTACAATAAATCAGTCCAATCTTTATCTTCTCTCCGTTGAGAAATTATCAACACTCCTTTATCTCTCCCCGTTCCAGCAAGAACGCAGTCATCAATCCATCCAGTAATTAGGTATCTTCGAGCCAGAGAGAGCGAGCTGCATTTGCCTCGCTTCTTATATAGTGCTTTTACAACCACACCCTTAATTACATTCTTGCAGTTAAAGTTACACACACTTTAACTAACAAACCATGATACCATATTTATTATTTTTACCCAAACCAGTTAGGGTAAACAATGTTATCCCTAACAACGGTTGTTAAGTGAATCTGGCTTCCCCATCAACTTTGCTTGTCGGTAGGCCGTAAAAGGGAATCAGGTAACCCTGGGACGCTGCAACCCTCATAAATGGAAGTCAGTTGCCAGGCATCTGATCATGGGGGTGCTGCAATGGTCATACGTGTGAAAAACAGTCATAAGTCCCTTTTTTCAATGCCGCTGTAACTTTGAACTACCTATATTAATAGCAGTAGCAATACCACTTTACAGTGGTAAAGTGCTTTTACAGCCCTCTCTAAGCGGTTTACAGAGTCAGTGTCATGCCCCTGCTGGAATCTGATTCCAAGGGGGAGGTCAAGCAGTTGACAGGGAGTGGAAGTGTGGTTCTGGTGGCTGAGGAGGAAACTGGGGAAGGGCACAGTCTGGCTGGGCATTCAGAGGAAGACCCAGGCCCACCCCCTTTTCATCCTAGAGCACGCAGGGAGGAACGGATAAGGGAGCAACGTGGGTTACGGGGGAGAAAAAGGCCCTGATTTCCTTCATTACCTGCAGCTGGGAAAACAGGATTTAAAAGGGGTGTTTGCGCACAGAACCTTGCTGGAAGCAAAGTGTGAATTATTTTGGTTTGTCAAGTCTTATCTGGGTTCCGGCGTCCTCCCAACTGTGTGTGTTTCATTATCTTTTGAGTTCTGCAATTCCTTATCCTGCCCTGTCTCGTTAATTGCTGCAGCGTGGTTTGTGTTGGTTTTTATTTATAATTTAGATGTACTTTGGGTTTGGACTAAATTTCTTCCCTTTAAAAACTGTTCTTGGGAGAGTTTTTTCTCCAGCCGATGATAACTGGACATTGGAAGCCAAGTTGGAGGAATTACAGGGACTTTACCCACTTTTGTGATTTTGTTGCTTTTGTGCCACACCCTGGGTCATCACAGTCAGCCTATTGCCCCTGACAATATGGGTCCTCATTTTACCCACCTCGGAGGAATGGAAGGATGAGTCAACTTTGAGCTATCAGGTCTGGTTCGAACTCA